CAGGAAGATTGTTATTGACAGCGACGACGAGGACGAGGACGATGGGGAGTGGATAGTCCCAAATGGCCAACGCGGTTTGCCTAATCTTGGAAAAGCTGGCGGAACTGATGACGAAGATGCTGAAGGAGGAGGCGAATGGCTGAGTTCCGAGGACTCTGAGACTGATAAGGACGGTGGTCCTGAATCCCCAACACGGAGGCCTGCCATTGTTTCCAATTCGAGAAAAAGTCAGGGTTCGAAGTCGGACACCGATGAGGATATTTATCTGAATCCTGGTGACGATGAAACTCAAGTCCTGCCTTCCACCAAGATCCGGCATTTGATGAAGATCCTTAGACGTGAAGCTGGCGACTACAAGTTCATTGTCTTCTCGGTCTTCACTTCGATGCTTGACAAGATCGAACCGTTCTTGAAGCGTGCTGGCATTGGCTTTGCAAGATACGACGGGAGCATGCGAAACGACCTTCGAGAGGCCAGTCTGGATAGATTGAGGCAAAACAGTGCAACTCGGGTGCTACTCTGCAGTTTGCGCGCCGGTGCCCTGGGACTCAACCTTACGGCTGCAAGTCGAGTCGTGATCTTGGAACCATTTTGGAATCCTGTAAGTGACCACGGCGAACTGGTGATTACGATTGACTAATGAAGTTTCTAGTTCGTTGAGGAACAGGCCATTGATCGAGTCCATCGACTTAACCAGACGGTTGATGTCAAGATTTACAAGATGATTATCAAAGACACCGTCGAAGAGCGGATCCTGGAATTGCAAGACCGCAAGCGCGAGTTGGCCAATCTCACTATTGAAGGCAAGAGCGCAGCTGGCAAGCTTACGATGAACGATATGATGGCCCTCTTTGGTCGCGATGCCGAAGCACGCTTCTCTGGCGACCGGGGAAACATTGACGTTATCAAACCCGGGGCCTCATTGACAGAAGCCAGCGCCTCTAGTTCCAAATATAACGGAAACGGAGGAAGTAGTCGGCCGTGGGGCCAGTCCAGTTCGCAAGACCGGAATCGCCAAGCGGAGAAGCGGGCTCCTAGGGCTGAGGATTCGGTATATGGACGACGCTGGTGAGCGGCAGCGTTACATGCACAGGCACGATAAGAAAGCGTTGTGGATTAGCATTTGGGAGTTTCAAGTTTGGATAATTGGGGTCATTCTATGGAGAGGCAAGGCTATGCGGAGATAGGATTCTAAACGGCGTTCTTGATATAGGGCATTATTTCGGGTATTATATTGGTCGTTTGACGGGTGCACATATCATTCAGGAATGGATACTTGATCTTTAATGACTGGTTTGAATGGTATGAGAAGTCAAGCAGTCGAGCAGATAGTAATAGACATGCAAGACGATCCTTAGACTTATAAGTTATGACCTGTATCAATCAAATTTTCCTGACAGGTCGACAAAGATACGGCGTGGATCTATCACATCCGCCGCCCGTCACAGGCAACAATCTACTGTCTTAGACTAATCTATGCACGGCAGTAAGTGGCTGAGGCTGTCAGATCACATGTAGACAATAATGGGACGTGCAGATCGGAGAGGCAAAATCTTGGATACAGTAGCGGGCTAGCGGGCTACGAGTAGGGTAATTGCTCCGTCCTAACGAACGGCAATAATGAGGATAAGGTAGGCAAGGCACCTAAGGACTAAGGTAGATAGTCTGCTCGGAAATATGAAATGGTGGACCCCGATTGGGTTTTCCGGTTGGGATATGCTTTTATAGAGATGATAGATGGAGCGGAGAGATCACTGATCCATCATATTCGGGTGATCTCTTGGGAGATGCGGATGATGAATGCAAGGGCCGTACATGAGGATGATGTATCGTCTCTGTAGGAAGGGTTTTGCAGTTGACATAGCTTCTAATTCCATGAGGAGGTGCACACCGTCAGAATAAATACCTTAAGGTAGATGTTTCTCCTTTATCAGCCACAAGACGATAAACTCCACAAAGGAATCAAGCCACCCAATGGTAAGAACATGTGGAAAATAGAAAGTTAGAAACAACTAGATACCACTATGTAAGCCAGCCGGGTTCGTTTATCTGGAGAGCACCCCTATCTGGAGTAGCTTGAAGTATAATATTTTTTGAGCTCTGTACTCTGCATTCATGATATTTGGTCGCCAAAACAATTCAGTCTCAAAGGCTGTCGCCAGCTCATTATCAGACATGTCCTAGTCTACTCCTGACTCCCGAGATATCTAGAGGTCCATAAGTACGGAGTAACTGCGTATTAGCAATTAGCACTGTCCTCTGTGGATCTTCTCTCTGGCCCTTCAAAAACGATCGGCACAGGTTCGACGGTTGACGACAAATCCTTGGAAAACAATGGTTCCCGGCTCCACTAGAATCTCGACTAAATTGATTTGGTTCGATTAAGAGTGTCATCTAAGTGGAGGAGACTACTGCTGACGAGTGACGATCCTTTGACGGCTTCATTCGCTGATTCCTGCTGTGGTCGGGAGGTCTTGCTGGATTATTTGATGTGACATGTGAGGAGGACTACTGGGAGGCGGCAGCGTTGTCTCCATAGTCCACATGGCCCTATTATCGTGTCGAAGTATGCGTATGGATGAGGACACCGTTATGACATGATGTCTGAGACTGTACGGAGACCCTGTACTATGGTCTGGCTGGAACAATCTCAGTGATCTGAAGAGACAAAAGCTGCCGCATGATTCATCCATCTGACGCGTGAAACATGAGACAGCCATCTCCCTTCCTATGGGAGCAGGGATCTGTTATTTCCTTTGCTGTTTGATATGCAGCTAGAGTAGTCTGGCTTGGATGATCTGCAAGCTCCTTTGACTAGTAGTGCTGATACGAAGGACCGCCCTAGACTGACCCCTTCAAACAGCCAGGGATAAGAAATATTTTCCTCGTGCTTTAAATAGTATGACAGCTGGAAGACTGATTTTCGGACCTGGCTGTTTACAACAATTATAAGAGAAGCGTTCTGATGATAATGCGATGGACGGCACTCTCTGGTTCGTTGGTTATCGGTAGGGGGTTTGCCTTTGGGCGGTCAGGCCCAAAAACGTGGCGGCCACGAGATGCTGCTTACAGCTTACATGGACACCACATCAGGAACAAAGAAATGGAAGAATTCGGGAAAGTGACTGGTCAGATCAAAATCTTTGGGAGATATTCCAGAAGGAACAGGTTTGTACTGTTGTCGAATGATGAGTTGACAGGTCAGCGGTGGCTTGTCGCCTCAGTCGTGCTTTGGGATCAGTCTTATGTATGAGACTCTGTTTTCTGTACTCCGTACATGGCTGCACATGAAATACGCCATAATCAGTTGTTGATAAATGACGTCTTCCAACCATCTGCTTTTGTATGACAGCACTCAGCGTAGATGGGGCCATGGACGTGAGCACCTTCGGCGTCAACTCTCCCCTTGAGAGTATCTGGAATCCCCAGTTAAGCATAGTAGCAATATGATCATGAGTTCATCACAAGCATTCGGGAGTTCCCCACGATACTTTTACCTTTGGTATGAATAGCTAAGGGTATTATTATTCGGCAAAGTCCCCATCGTTCCATATTCAAGGACCCGCCCTAAGACGACTATCGGTTGATTCTCCAATGTCCAAGGCTCCAAGACATGCTTAGTTTTGCTATTCCACTGCGGTCTCTCTAGTCAGTACTTAGTAGTATTCCCATTTGGTTCCCCCATTCTGATTTGTTTTCCTCTTTCACCTGTGAGCCTGTGTCCAGATTCAGGATCTTGTACTTCGTAAACCACGCCTCTTCCCATTCGCTCGTGGGCCCAAGCGGCATCTCTTCTGTCTCCTGGATGGGGACGCCACTTTGGGTACGTTCATTCTTCACATCGCTTTGACCAAATAATCATAATACAGCGTAGATAGCTCCGACTATTCCGTAGCAGCCTCCGAAACCCCCTATCCCTTCTTTGGTAGTTACTATTCGGTGGACTGCTCTCATTCTCCACGCTGGTCAAAACCTGCACTTTCCCCATCTGGGTTCTTTGAGACAGCAAGCTAGATTCAAGCCTCAAAGGTAGCTTAACTCCAGTTAGATAGCTGGCTTGTCCGCTCGTATTGCTGGTGTCCCTCTTATTTTATGCTTGTCAGCAGGGCAAATTACCTTCGCCTATCATCAAACTGTTCTAGAGGGTCCAACAAAGAGAGTTTCGCGAGATTCTCTCCCTATTGAGCACTAAGCACCTACTGAAGTACCATTCTTTCAACAACTCCAGCAAAACTCTCTGAGTAATCGCACCAAGAGATCATAATTCTTCAGAGATCTGCTCTGTTAGGTGAGTGATGAGTACAATCTTTCTGCATGCTGGTGGACTGGAAACTTTGTTTTTCCCTCCTCTGTTAGTGACCCGGGCCGTCTTCTGACTACTCCGTATTAGGGGCTAAGGCACTACCGTACTAACAGTACCACTTCTACTACGGGATACGCTCAGCCAGTCCGCAAATCATCCAAGACTCAAACGCCCTTCATCCCTTCTCGCTGTTCTGGTTCTCAAGCCAGACTGGCTCACTTTTTCCATCACGTACAACATCTCCAGATTGCCTGAGACTCGTTTTGTTACTTCATCCTTTGAACCCATTGCATTCCCTTCATTGAGAGAGTAAGTTAACTCCTGCGAAAGATCTTGCGCAGCCTATCGGGGAAAAGAACCCCTCCACCCACGTTATTCTCCTTCTGTACCACTGCCGTCACCTTTTTAGATGCTGCGATTCTTTGTTACGGTGCTGATAGTTTTGTCTCTTCTTCTAGAAATCTAGGAGCATTAATGTGCCCGGCTTGCCACCGCTTGGAGTCTCCTATACCTTGAATTTCTGGCAATTGCCCGTCTACTTCTCCTTTTCATACGCCAATCGTCTTTTCCGCCCGCGTCTGCGAATCATTACATATCGTCCGGGTCCGATCCCTGCAGCACAACGATTGGGATGCGTCCGCGGTGATTTAACCCAAACGGAACGCAATACTTGAGTTTTCTCGGATAGGGTTTCTCAATGGGTAACTCACAAGGGAAACCGGTGTCCTCCACCGATGAGGGTGCGTAGCGGGTTCTTTATCTTGGTGTGCTGGACGCACCTGTCCTTTGCAATTGTATGGAGCGCGCTCACTGACTCTTCTTGACTTATCCTGTGATAGTGAACTTAAACCAATTTCGCCTTCTTCGAGTGGTAGGCAAAGGTGCTTTCGGAAAGGTCCGCATCGTGGAGAAGAAGGATACCGGCCTGACATTTGCTCTAAAGTATATTCGGAAAGAAGAAGGTGGGATCTTTGATGTCGTCTGATTCTCTTGCTGGTGCAGCGTACTAACGATTTGCTTCGTGTTCTTTAGTTGTGCGATCGGAGAGCGTGAGGAACATCATTCGAGAACGACGAATGCTCGAACACTTAAACCATCCCTTTCTTTGCAACTTGAGATACAGTTTCCAAGACATCGAGTACATGTGCGTTCTACAGCAGGCTTCCTGCATGGCCCTGACAGCGGTTGCTAATATCTTGTGAAGATATATCGTGGTTGATTTGATGAACGGCGGTGATTTGCGATTCCATATCTCAAGAAAGTGCTTTACAGAAGAGGCAGTACGCTTCTGGATGGCAGAACTCGGTTGTGCTTTGAGATACATCCACTCACAAGGTATCATCCATCGAGACGTGAAGCCAGACAATGTGTTGCTAGATTCGGAAGGGCATGTACATTTGGCGGATTTCGTATGTGGCGCCCTCTTGAGCATTGTGATCCCAGTTACCTTTGGCCGCTGACCTTTCTTCCTCATTGCAGAATGTGGCATCCGATTTTCGACCGGGCAAGCCCCTCACAAGCAAGTCAGGAACCTTGGCGTATCTGGCTCCGGAGGTGTACGAAGGCGGAGGTTATTACTGTGAAGTCGATTGGTGGTCGCTCGGTGTTACATTTTACGAATGCATTTATAACAAGGTACGGACTTGCTTTCGCCGCAATTCTGGTCTCTCGCACTACTCTAACTTGTAATATAGCGACCATTCGAAGGTCGCAGCCAGGACGTCCTTAGCGAGAACATCAAAAAGGCTCAACCAAAATACTACGTCACCAACCCGGCTGTTTCAGTTCCGTGTCTGCGAGCAATGTCGGCGCTGCTGGAGAAAGACAGAAGCAAACGAATAGGGGCCACTGGATTTGACACTTTCACTTCGCATATGTTCTTCGCAGAGATCGACTTCGTTGCTCTGGAACGAAAGGAAGTTCCGCCTGTTTTCCGACCTTCTAGCGACAAGACCAACTTTGACGCCACATATGATTTGGAAGAGCTTCTCCTCGAGGAGGCGCCTCTGGAGGCTCGGGCACGGAGACAAAAGCCAAGGGCGGAATTGAGAGAGGATGCAACGGCGAAGGAAATCAGAGAGGATGAGCTTCACCGTCTGATCGAGACGATGTTTGAACCATTCGACTACACCACAGTTACATATCAAGGGTATGTCCGGGAGTTGCAGGCGCAGGATCTATCTGGGTTCCGTGCTAACGGAGTTTTCAGCAATGCTGCTGAGGCAATCGCAGCGTCAAAGTAAGTACCGCCACATCGACTTCATTCATCCACTTCTGATACTCACATTTGCCGACAGGAATCCTGAGGATTGTCTCCCCACCACCACGTCTTCAGCCCACGCTCGTCATTATTCACAGCCTGACACCTCGAGGAACTCGCCGACCTCACGCACTGAGGGTTCTGCCGGTCACTTGACCCAACCCGACAATGCCAGTCAGGGTGAGGCGTACGACTCGCCAGACCATACGCCAAACGCGCAGCCTCCGTCTCCAGCTCCTCCCCAGCCTCCCCCACCCGCTCCCTCGTTCTCTCGGCCGCTTCCGCCCCCTGGCCCCAATCGCCCACGAGGAGCCACCCGCAAGACAAGTAAGGGCGGAGGTGTCCAGATGGTCTTGGAAGAAGCGGGTAGTTGGAGTGAGCTCGCCGACCACAGCTCTACTCTTCCCGCCGAGGGCTACGATAGTGCGTCAGTTAAGGGGAAGTCCTCCAATAGTGGTATGCTCGCATTCTTGAGCCGCAAGAAGGGGCGTGACAGAAGCCCGAAACCTCAGGAACCAGGCGTTTTGGGCAAGGAAGGAGCGAGACAAATTATCAGTTGATAACAGTTTCACAACAGGGCCTAATAGCGCCCAGGCTTAGGACAGGAAGCCGTGGATAATCCCTCCTGTTGGAAAATCATGCTCCCAGTGGTGGCGGATCGAACACCAAAATCGGCAGCCACTGAACAAGTGGAAGAAAGGAAAAAAGAGAAAAAGAGAAAAAGAGAAAAACTACTGACACATTGCACCAACGGGCTGGTCCTTTATGCATTCTGCCTCTTGTGGCCTTCGCATGCGCACATGGGAAATCCACGAGAGCTGCGGTGCAACCTACGAGTCGATCTGAGGATGTGACAAAAGTGAGCGACGGCAGTGCATTGTCCTGCCCCGGTTATCTGTACACACGTTCGAGGCCTACCCTTCTCCGTTGATTTTTCACTTTGCCTACGCGACACGTCAGTTATGAAGGCCGCCTAATGAATGGCCACTCTGCCCAAAGCTGATGCAGTCTCCGGTCGCGCGACAGGCCCATCCGATGCGCAATAACTTATTACGGGCAGCTTTGCGCCGCTGAAAATTCCCTCTTATAATTTTGTCTCATTTTTTGATTCCCCTGAAGTCAGCGAAGGCATAATATCATCGCATTCTTTCGTGTCGTTCTAATCCTTAAGTTGGGTGAATCCGGAGTTGTACAGACGGAGGTGGCAGATATGACATGTCTTTCATATTCCCTGGATCTTCATTTGGTATTCCGATATTCGTTGTCCATGTACAATCGACTGGATCTTTTCCTACTCTTGTTCTCCACGATCTTCTACTTTGGTCATTTGTTTCATCCTGATATACGGCGTTTTTCACATACCTCTTTGACAATTGTCAGGGACTGGCCACGCGAGGCATTCCGTTCAGTATCAGATTGATGAAGCTAGATAGATACTTATACCACTGCATCTTCTCTCTTGAATTGTTTTTCTTCACTATTTCTCAATGGATTTTCGATCGGATTCCCCACAAACGATCAGTATCATGTAACTAGTCCGACATCCGTGTCCTCAATCTCCGGAGACCACGTGTGGCGTCTCGTGCTTACCATCTATCTCGAACCTAAAACGACCAATGCAGCTCTCTACGATCAAGTCTCTCTTTGCTTTCTTGATTTAAGACACAATCAATGTTGCATTTGAGGCTATGATGTTGAGAGTTACTACTCTTCTCGTTCCTGTCTTGGTTGTTTCCGCCCCGGTTGCTCCGCAACTGGCGTTCCTGTCAGAAACACAGCCATCCCACCTCCACCAGATTCAGCAGCCAGGGGCAAAGCCCCATGAACGACCTTAGCTTACCTTCGTTTTGGATATTGAGAATTGAGAATTGAGACATCGAATTTTGATACAAGAGAATTATATGTGTGTCTGGTATTAAGAAGCTCAAAGGATTGCCGCATCGCATCTTGGGCTAGATCGCGGGCCGTGATTGGCAACGCGTATGCTTTTCTTGTCTTTGTTTTGATACTAGGCAGTCCTCACTCTTTCGATCGATTGCGCTCATGTCGCACGCTTATGATGAACGACTTCTACACGCTGCTACATGAGATTAATTTTTAATTACAGCTACGAACCATATCCGCGCTGACACACCCCTCAAGGGTCCCAGCGACCCCGACAGCAGTCATAAACAAACCAAAGCCTCTGCAGTTCCCACATACCGATCGTTGACATTCACCCCGCCGAACATTCCAATCCACGGAATAAAACTTGCATGCCAAGTCACTCCCGAAGTCGGGACCGCTACGGCGGTCGCGACAGCGACCGGGAAGCACGGTATGACTACGACCATGCGCGACGGCGCTACGCAACTGACGACAACGACGACGATTATGACGATGACGAATTGGAGCACGACCTTAACGAACGCCGATACAGACGGGACGGTTACCGTCCCCCGCGTGAGTCGCGGACGCGCGGGTACTACGAGCGCGATGCGGAGGGGGCCGTTGACGAGGAATTGCTGGGTGATGAGCGCAGCCCGCGACCGCGAGCGAGTAGATCTTACGGTGATGACTATGATGCGCGACGAGGGGAACGATCACGGCCGAGGGAGACTCCGAGAAGAAGCGAGCGACATGGGCGGCATCGCGACAGGGATCGGGAGGCTCAGAGCAGGCGCACGGCGTATGAGGATGATGGGCGACATCGGACGAGAGACGGCCGCCGGGAGAGAGGTCGTGAATCGGATGCTGAAGCGCGGAGATCTAGACGAAGGGAAGCGGGGCGTGAGGCAGCGGCGAGGAAGCATCAGAGCAGTGATTCGACCAATAGTGCGTCACATTTGCTGAGCGCGGATGCGTTGGCTAGGCTCGGGGCTCAATATGAGAAGGAGGGGCGTCGGGAGCGCGAGAACGCGAAGGACACCGCCAAAGCGGAGAGGAAACGTCACAAGAAGAGAGCAGTTGTGGGAGAAGGAAAGCGCGCCTTGCGTGATCCGCCTGGCGAGTCACACAGAGATCGGACGAAGGCTAGGGTCGCGTCTGGGGCATACCTTGAAGAAGGGCGGAGCCCCGAGATGCAAGTGCGCCATCGTGGAGGTGGTGGCCCAACAATGGAAGCTAGATGGCGGAAAGAAGGTACCTGGGGAGGCAGTACTGACGATGCAGGCGGCGGACGGCCATTCTGGAAGCGAAAGAGATGGATTGGATTGGGTACTCTGATCCTGATCCTGGTCATCGTGATTCCCGTCGCCGTCGTCGTGTCCAAGAAACACGACAACAAGTCTGACCCGGCAGATCCACAAGGAACCTCGCCTGGTAACTCGAATCTGGACGGGTTGAGCCATGACAGCATTCCAGTACGTTTGTTCAAGCGGATTTGCTCATCGAGACCTCCACTGACGTTATACTAGGCTTACGCCCAGGGAACATATCTGGACCCTTGGACATGGTACGACACAACTGACTTCAATGTCACTTTCACAAATGAGACGGTTGGTGGTCTCTGTATCATGGGCTTAAACTCGACTTGGGACGACTCAGCTAGACCGAACGACAATGTTCCTCCTTTGAACGAACCATTCCCGTATGGATCACAGCCAATCCGCGGCGTTAACCTGGGAGGCTGGCTGTCAATCGAACCGTTCATCGTTCCTTCATTTTTCGACTCTTACTCGTCGGTCTCAGGGATCGTTGATGAATGGACATTGTCCAAGAGACTCGGCAGCTCAGCAGCCTCGAGAATTGAGAAGCACTACGCTACATTCATCACTGAACAAGATTTTGCAGACATACGAGATGCAGGCCTCGACCACGTCCGCATCCAATATTCCTACTGGGCGGTAGCAACGTACGACGACGACCCTTATGTCGCAAAGACCTCGTGGCGATATCTCCTCCGAGCAATCGAGTACTGCAGAAAATACGGGCTCCGAGTCAAGCTCGACCCGCACGGGATTCCAGGAAGTCAGAACGGATGGAATCATAGCGGTCGCCAGGGTGCCATTGGCTGGCTCAATGGGACAGATGGCGAGCTCAACGGCAACCGGTCTCTCGCTTTCCACGACAGTGTCTCCAAATTCTTCGCGCAGGACCGGTACAAGAATGTCGTCACGATCTACGGGCTCGTGAACGAGCCGCTGATGCTTTCGCTCTCAATTGAGGATGTCCTCGACTGGACCACCGAGGCCGCGAAGCTCGTGCGAAAGAACGGCATCACGGCGTACGTCGCTTTCCACGATGGCTTCCTGAACCTGAGTAAATGGAAGAGCATGCTCAAAAACGGTCCCGACAAGATGTTACTGGATACGCACCAATACACCATTTTCAACACAGGGCAGATAGGCCTCAACCATACGGCGAAAGTCAACCTAATCTGCAACGACTGGTACAACATGATCAAAGAGATCAACTCCACAAGCACAGGGTCTGTCTTTCTCCAACGTTCCCCCTCATCTTCTTATCTCACCATATTGACTCTTTCTCTATAGCTGGGGCCCAACCATCTGCGGAGAATGGTCCCAAGCCGATACCGACTGCGCCAAATACCTCAACAACGTCGGCCGCGGCACTCGCTGGGAAGGAACCTTCTCCCTCACAGACTCAACCCAATACTGTCCCACCGCCGACACCGGGTCCTCTTGCAGTTGCGCCAACGCCAACGCAGACGTCACCGGGTACTCGACCGAGTACAAGAAGTTCCTGCAGACATACGCAGAGGCGCAGATGTCTGCATTCGAGACCGGACAGGGCTGGTTCTACTGGACCTGGCGCACCGAGTCTGCGGCGCAGTGGAGCTACAGGACCGCCTGGAAGAATGGTTTCATGCCGGCCAAGGCGTATGCGCCATCGTTCAAGTGTGGGGATGCAGTGCCGGATTTTGGGGACCTGCCGAACTACTATTGATCAGCTTGTGAATTGAAAAGTCGGTTTTGTGGTCTTGGTTTGCGTTGTCTCTCCCTGGATAGAAGCATCAGCATCGTGTCGGCGTTGTACATCTTGTTCATACAGCATGCACATATACATATACATGCATATAACATCATTTCATGGGATCTGTTATCTATCTTAACAGTGACCATCATCTAAGTTCTGCACTCTATAATCTATGTTACCTCTATACTTTGAGGGGTATAAGACTCCCGTCTCTGTCGTTGAACCACGTTCCCATGCGGACATAAATCTCGATTCCACACAAGCATCCTTAGCTCTCAACGCCCTTGTCGAACCAGCCTCCCTTCTCCCACATGCCAGGCTTGTAGAGACTGTCCTCACGGGCCTCTTCCTTGTGCACTCCATCCAGGAGATAGGCAACACGTTTGAAATCAACCGGTTTCATGATCCACCCGTTGAATCCCGCGTCGATATACGTCTGACGGTCCTTCTCCACCAGAGATGCCGAGACAGCGAATATCGGAATCCGCCGAGGCCGACAAGTCGCTGAAACAGAGGTCGAAGAGGCTGCAAGCTCTTCATATTCTCGTATCATCTTGGTTGATCCCATGCCATCGACGATCGGCATCTGCTGGGAGGTCAGCTCACGATTGTTAGCTACACAAAAGTTCTGTGACTGACCTGT